TACCACACGATTTCTTTAGTTTGTTTTCTGAGAAATAATTTAAAATAAAATATAACTTGAAATTCCTAGCACAATTCCTGGATAGTTCAAATAGCAGCAGCTTGTTGAACGTCTGAGCCCATCCATGCATACGTTTTTTTGTGTAGTTGTTAGTGTTTATCATCTCTTTGATAGACTGCCTGGGGCAAACATGTCCTTTAAAGGAATGTGCGAGAGCTCATGATTTATGCAAAAAGCCCCAGCGGCCCTCTGATTCTTAATGCAACCTCTGTAATTAACACCAGCCATAAATGACTGCCAGATAAGCAAAATACGCACATCAGCATTAATCAGTTATCACCCTCAAGCTCTTTCACATTACATTTTAAAACGATGCCTCTGCTATTACTAATGCATAAATTAATAAAATAAATCCTTGTTTGCTCTGCCAGCTGGATAGTAAAGTTTAGGACAGTGTGGAATGAGTGTTTGTCAGCACAGGGGCAATAAATGCAGTTTAATTTTAAGGTGCCGACTAATTTTTCAAACAACACTCTAAAAGTCACCGATCAGTAGAAAATAAAAATACTTTATTTGAGCCAAAGGAGCATCTTATTGAGATCTAACCAAAGAAACGGAAATAAAAAGTAAGGCAAACAAAAATACAACTAAAACGTTTTGTTCATGGTGATGTTCTTGTTCTGTCTGTCAACTTTAGAAGACAGATTCCTTCTGACTGGTCAAAATATGTGAAGTTTATTTCCTTTCTTTTATGAGCAGATTTATGTCGGTGTGTGTGTTTGTGTGTGTGTGCATGCGTGCGTGCGTGTGTGTGTGTGTGTGTGTGTGCGTGTGTGTGTGTGTGTGTGTGTGTGTGTGTGTGTGTGTGTGTGTGTGTGTGTGTGTGTGTGTGTGTGTGTGTGTGTGAGAGAGAGAGAGAGAGAGAGAGAGAGAGAGAGAAAGAAAGGTTGACCTTTTTCACGGTTTTGCTCCTTCTGTTTTTCCTCCCAATCTGTTAAATTGAATTATTTGGTTTTGCACAGATGACAACCCCTGCTTTCACACAAAACCTCAGCTAGCCTGTGGATAGTCTTTGCAGGGTTCTAGAGAGATCTTCAGGTGTGCGTTTAAGAATGCATTGAGCTCCCTATGCTCTTGATGCGCTTAGGTTGGTTTCACGCATGCACACAATTCTAGTATCAAGGTCCTGGTGGCTTATTATAGTGCAGTTTGGTACATTGCATTCTGCAAGTGTTAAGCTACAAACATCTGTCATCAACAGCTGCCACAGAGAAGATGCATTTCCCAAGAGAAGATTTGATATGGAGAGCAGGATTTATTATGACAAGTTATCAAACGGGGACCAAGACTTTCCCACTCATCATCTGGAAAATATTTTCAAGCAGTAGATTTAAAGAACACAGGCAAAGCTCCTACAGATTGATGACCTCGCCCGGCTTTCTAGGTCAGATTTTCACAGCATATGTCTGCATTCCTTCGTGGGGTTTTTTAGTTGCTAGCAGCTCAAGGCTACCAGGGCGTCAGATTCAGATAACAAGACTTTGTTTGGGTCAGGCTGAGATAATTTTCCTCTCTGCCTTCAGTCTTTAAACTGATCATTCCAGTCCTTCAGTGAAGCCAATTTTAGGTTTTTTAACCTATCCATACCGTCCGGTGACTCTCTCCGAGATGACATCCATTTTGCGCACTAATACCAGTATCGCAGCTAGAACATTGTCCAGCTTACGATTCACCTCGAGTAACGTCCCAGTCTGTGAGGTCTCCACACGGACGGTGCTTTCCGTGGGTGCGGGTCGCCCTCCAATCGCTCCCGTCTTCCCAAATTTCCAGAAAACCAGATATCCGCTCACTCCAATCAGGAGAAATCCAGTGATCATCAGACCAAATATCCACACGTCTTCGATGTCCTCAATGGACAGCTGGGAGAGGCACATGATCTTCCATTCCTTCCAGGAATCCAAAATATATTCCACCGGATGTGTCCCCTGTGGACATGTGGGAGCCCCCTGCTCCGTTCTCATTGTTGAAAAAATCTTATCAATCGCATTGAATGACCAGTTTATCAAATCCATAGTTAGTAAAAATAGATTTATTTCAGAAGAAATGCAGAGAAGCGCTCTGTGGGCAGACAGGACAAAGAGCCTTGGGAAAAAAAGATAAGGGAGTGAAAGAGGGAAGCGTCTGTTCTCCTCGAGTGCTGGAGGTGGCCAAATGGCTCCTTGGTTTGAAAATCAATACTCAATCACTGACAATTAGCTGCCTTTCATTTGTAAATGTAGCCATTATCTGTGCAGAGCACACAGACAATGGTCCATTGGAATGTGGAGGAATGTTGGGGAACTTGAAAATTTTCAGTCATTTAGGTTGACCTCATTTTGTTTGCCTCTTTAGCCCTGGTAGAAAATGACTCACAAGCCCTTTTTACAAGACACACTGTGCCGGCAAATCAGCGTAACATTACTGCAACAGTGTGTTTTATAAACACGGCGTTGTGCGAAGTTTGGTGGATTTGTTGCGCCTCGCTTGGTAGTAATATTGCAGTAATTGTCTGTCCTATAAACAGCGATTGTGCCTTGGCACAACAGAGGATGTCAAATGACGTAGTAAACGTGCGGCGACCCCCGACCGGAAAGAGTATATAAGCCACGTAAACATGGGAAAGTTAGTAAACAACCAGCGGTCATGGCTAATTGGAGTGACAACGAGATCGGTGAACTTCTGTCTTTACGAGCAGAAGCAGAAGTAGCCAGACAATTCTCAGGAACTGTGACGGACAGCCACCTCTTTTGTTCGTCTAAAAAACTCAAGGAGCGTGGCTTCAGCAGAGACAGAGAACAGATCACGTCAAAACTCAAAGGATTGAAGAAGTTTCACCTTTCAGTGTTTCTTTTTACATGCAACTGCAGCCAGGTAACCTGAAAAATACATTCTGTTCAGATTTAGCTGATCACCTGAAGCCTTTTCAAGAGTCTGGCTTGTTTTCAACACCTGAAAAGCAGCTTCAGCACAGCTGTTATGAACCTTCTTTTGGAACCTGGACAATCGAAGCCGGCGTTGCATAACCTGCATTATTCCCCCAAAATTGTTCGAGTTGCAATACAAAACATTCGCAAAAGGCTTGTGCATTTGAAGGTTTATTGTTCTAATAAAACCATAATGCTTTCTTGGATTGCCTGAGCATTTTGTGGCTCTTTTGTAAAAAGGGCTTCGGTTGAATCTGGTCAACTGAACTTGCCCACCCAAAATAATTTATGACTGACTTTGTGAAGACTTCAGATAAGCACACAAGTTGTGAATGCAACATAAGCTATAAAGGCTACAAACATAGTAACTGACAAAATAAAATCACGTTTTACAGATGCCTGTATGCTCTGTCATTATATCCTGCATGTAGCCTCTGACTGAAGACACTCTTGTTGAGCAGTCGAGTGTCTCTGGTTTTTCTCTAGCTGCCTCTTTACCTGACTGCTAGAAAAAAACAGGCAAGAGGGGGATGTGAGGAGAGCACCAATATCTCCTGAAGGGATTTACAGAACAAAGGCGAATGTTCACAAGTGATTAAGAATGCTAGGTGAAAACAACGGTGCCAAATGGCGGCTCTCTGGTTGATCGAGGGGTGATGGAGCCAATTGGCAACTCTCTGGGATTTCTAGTGTTAAGGCCCTGCATGTTACTGTGAAGCAGCCATTTATGCTGACTTCTGTTAATTGGATCCTCTTCTGCTTCTTTTCTGTTGTGGAGTTAAAAAAATTGGGCGTCCAAATAGCATCTCCTCTTTGTGCATGTGTCGGTTTCCTCTGAATTCCTCTTACAGTCCCTCAAGTTGATTGAAGAATCTAAATTGTCCCGTTAATGTGAGTGAGTGAGTGAGTGAGTGAGTGAGTGAGTGAGTGAGTTTAAGGATGGTTTTTTGTCTCTCTGTGTCCCTGTGATGGAGTGGCGACCTGTCCAGTGTCCTCCGCCTCTCACTCGATGAGTGCCGAAGTAAGGCCTGGTTCACACCAAAGGATAATCGTGCCTGCTTTTGACCCGATCCTCCCATCCAAATATTTTAAGGACACACTTGATTTCTGTAATTGCTTTGAAGGAGTGGTTCACAGAAAAATCATCTTTAAATTAATATTTCTAATAATTCGTCACTCTTTAGTTTTTCATGCAGGCTGAACATGAAATAGTCTCCTACACCTATCTCCTGCATTAGCTTCTGATAGAAAATAGACGGTGAAACTCTAGGATTTACCATACCATACCATACCACCTTTATTTATATAGCACTTTAAAAACACAGCCATACGGCCGACCAAAGTGCTGGGGAACTTGAAAAATTTCAGTCATTTAGGTTGACCTAATTTTGTTTGCCTCTTTAGCCCTGGTAGAGAAGCCTGACAGATCTACGTCACACTGTCACTTAACACTAATGGACCCACCCATCTTGACTTGCACTTGGGGAAGTTTGCTGTTGGTTTAGCATCCAGGAAACAGCAGAGAATGTCTCAACTAGTATAAGCTAGTATTAGCAACCCCACGATGTGGCAGAACGTCTTCAGGCTTGTGTCATTTGTGGAGATAAAACATCAACGTTACAAGTCAAACTGAGTCAGTGGTAGTCTGGGGCGAGTTGTCCAAGTATCAGGAATTAAGACTCGAAATGCTGCTGTCCGAAGCTCTCCTCTGCTGTGGCTCATTCCTAGTTCCTGATAATGGTGCACCAGAGCTTTTTTCCCCCTCCAGGTACGACTTAGAAGGCATTAATTTCTGTTAGAGACCACTGCAATTGTATCAAAACTAATGTAAGTAAGCGGGTAGGTTTTATCTTGGACACAGGCAACTGGTTCCTCAAATAAAAAAAGGTTGAGACCAGCTGATCTAGAGTCCAAATTATCCAAACAACATTTCACGTATGAAAAAATATTTTTGTTTGTTGTGCAATAACGTATGTTTTGAATGTAAGTCACCACAGGTTCATCTTTGCATTTTTATGATGAATTTTGTCTCCATAGGTGGACGATATCTAACGATTCCAGAGACAGGAAACAAGAGGACTGGTCGAGGGGCCCGACTTGTCCTCCCACTCACCCCACCCTGGAATGATGGCAACATGTGCCTGTCATTCAGACACAAGCTGGCTGGTCACCATGTGGGAATGCTTCAAGTGTTTGTGAAAAAGGGAAAGCAGTACAGTCCGGCGGTGTGGGGCCGAACAGGTGGGAACGGCTGGAGACACACTCAGATCACTCTGTGGGGCACAGGCCTGGAAAGCGTAAGTTCAAGTTGTGCTTTTATTTGTTAAAACTGATTGAATTATCATTTTAAAGGGGCATTATGGAAGTTTGACAGCCAAAACATGTATAGAAATAATAAATGTCTTCTTCATACATTCTCCTGCAATGCCCTGGTCCTGTAGAATGAGCCCTGGCATTTTTACTGTGATTGCCTGTTTTTCTGTAAAATCACAGAAAAAGAGAGATGCTCGGGTCGAGCAGGCTGCTTCATGCGCGTTCACGCTCAGGCATCGCCCGTAGCATTTGCTATCCGTAGCTTTAGCAGCAGAGAGAGAGGCAGTGCCACTTTGTCGCTGTTCCTAACGCCTAGTGATGAACCTAGCTACATTTCTGAGGACCCTTCGCTACTTTCTGTAGAACTTTCTTCTAGATATTTCCTGCAAATTAGCAACAAAATAGCCATTTTCGCTCCGAACCGTTCTTTGGTTTGACGTTGTTTCAGCTGTCATCAAGGATATAAATGTTACAGTTACTGTGAATGCTACTATAGCTCACCTTGTAAGATGTCTGACTCTCGTGCAGAAGACCTGGGTTTGATTCTGGGTGGGAATATAGTTTATTTAGAGTTTCTTATTTACATTAATGATATATATTTATTACAGTAAGATGCCCAAATTTTCATTTGAGACTCGCCGAACGGCATTGAATTCACAGATAAAAAAGATGTGGGTTCAACTTTTATTTTGGAACAATTTTTCAAGCAAGGGAAGGGAATGATCTGAGCATGCAGGAGGACTGACCCATCATAAACCTTTGTCGGCTGTGCTGAAGAGAAAGGTACTGAACCACATTATTTAATTAATTAGCTGCGCGTTCTCCTGTCCTCCGGGCCACACACACACACACACACACACACACACACATTCTGGTTTTTGCCCCTTATGAGGCCCACTGGTTTTTCTATGCTTTATGGGATCCACCCTTTCCAGTGGTCCTACATCGCTTTTAAAAACAAGGTTAGATGTAAAAAAAAATCTAAATCATTAATATCACTTCAATTTAACACATTTCTAAAGTTTTGACCAAAAAGGTATTTGGCCACTTGTGGGGACCGTTTCTAGCATTGCATACTTGTGAGGTCCATTCACATACACACGTACATATCAAGTTTTTATATGTTAATGGGGCCCACGGTCACTATCTGCAGCTGCTGATACCAGTCTTTATTATTACTCCCAGTTTCCTCATGTTGGACTAAAATATTTTTTTGTAATAAGTGATTATGTATATGTGTGAACATTTCTATCTGCGATGACAGATTACAAGACATTCAGCTTCAAAGACAGTTTAATAACAAAATTGAAATGACCAATTTAATTACATTTTATGCCATATGCTTGTGATTTTTTTAATTATTAAATCATTAATCTAATCTCCACTGAATGTTTTAACAATATCAGTTTGAAGTTCTATGCAAACCCAACATTTTTTGTTACATTGGCATTGAAATTATGCGTTTCATTGGACTGCATTCAAAATGCCTTGTTATTACAGGTGTAAAAAATATACAAAAAAAACCTGTGAAATGTTTTTATTTGTACACAACGGAACAGCCATAAAACCTGAGCAAACCCTTACAAAAACAACAAAAAGTAACAACAAACACAACAAAGGACAAAACATTTTGACATCCAATGTTTTGCTTTTACCTCCGTTCAATTAGGTGCTTTCATACTACTTTTCTTCTCAGGGCTGTAATGCGATTTTTAACATAATATTTACCAGCTTTCCAGTCTCTGTTTCTGAGAGCTTCAGGTGCAGCAGTAATACAGCGCTGACACTCTTCTTTACCAGGAACTTGACTCCTCACGATAAATCTCCTCAAATGTTTGTCCACTGCAGCACACTCTTCTGGGGTCCAGCTTCTCTTGACAGCTGTTTGTTTTTCTGTGTGGACAAAAACAAAACAATGTAGGTTTTCTATTATAAAGAAGTTTTAATCTTGATTAACACTGTAAGACCCACTGTTTTAGAATTACAACAATTTTGGTTATTGTCCAAAATTATTCCACAAATTCAGTCTCATAAATCCCCAAGGCCCTCTGATGGTGGTCAGCACAAAACTTACTGCATGTAAACAAATCAGGTAACAGAATTCCATTTGTACCATTTCCATGTACTTGAAGAGAGGTCCAGAGTCTGGGGGCTACAGCAGCAGATGATCTGTCACCTTTGGTCTTTTGCCTTGAGCTGGACTAACAGTAGGCTTTGGTCACTGGACCTCAGGGACCTGCTGGGGTGTAGGGTCTGAGAAGAGCACCAAAGTATGGTGGTGCTTGTCCATGTAAGGCCCTATAAACCAGAACCATGATCTTGAAATGAACCCTGAAGTTGACTGGCAGCCACTGAAACTGGAGGAGAAGCGGGGTGATGTGGGTGTGTTTGGAGGTCCTGGTTAGAAGCTGAGCTGACAGGCATTCTGAACCACCTGTAGACGGTTCAGGGAGGTTCTGCTCAGACACGTGAAAAGAGTTGAAGTAGTCCAAGCGTGAGAAGATGAAGGTGTGGAGAACTGTCTCAAGTTCAGAGCAGGACAAAATGGGACTCAGCTTTGCAATGTTCCTGAGATGAAAGAAGGAAGAGCGAACAAGAGAACGGACTTGAGAATCCAGGGTGAGAGCCGGGTCAAAGGTCACACTAAGACTCCTGACGGAGGGTTTGGTGTGAGAAGCAAGCTGACCAAGATCTCTGACTTTGGGAACCAGCTTGTCTGGGGCACAGATGAGGATCTCAGTCTTATCTTCATTCAGCTGAAGAAAGCTCCCAGCCATCCAGGTTTTGATAGAGTCTAAGCAGGTGTGTAACAGCTGCAGCTTAGACATCTCATGGGGCTTAAAGGAGATGTACAGCTGGGATGTCATCTGCATAAAGATGGTAGGAGATTCCTCTGAAAGAGCTCAGGATGTGCTGAAGAGGAATCAGATAGAGGAAGATGAGTAGAGGCCCCAGTGCAGAACCTTGTGGGACATCATGGGTGAGGGAGGTGGTGGAGGACCTTGGAGATGGCCACAGCGTTTTTAAAGTAAGCAGGGACCTGACCATAAACCAGAGAAGCATTAATTGTGGAGAGCACGCTGGGATCGATGGACTGAGAAGCACTTTTAAACAAAGATGAGGGTAAGATGTAGAGGGGGCATGCAGAGGTCTTCATAGAGTTGGCTAGTTTGGTTAACTCAGGCAAAGAAACAGGAGCAAAGCTATGTAGGATGATGGGCCTGGTTGGAGTCAGGAGAGGCAGAGATAAGGCTGAGGGAGAGATGCTAGATTTGACCTTATTGACTTTGTCCACAAAGAAAGACAGAAAGTTCTCACAGTCTACAACAGAGTGAATGGAGGCTGTAGGAGAGGCAGGGGAGAAGATGCTTCTGATGGTGTTAAACAGCACCTTGGGGTTCTCTTTGCTCTGGGACACCAGGTTGGAGAAATAGTCAACCTTTGCATCTCTGACTGCAGAGTTAAAGGAAGTCAGAAGATTCTTTAGATGCAGCAGATGGACATGGAGACGGGTTTTCTTCCACAAGCGCTTGTAACAACAACAAGCTACTGACCATCAACCTCTGTGACGGGTCAAACTGACCCGACATGTGCCTCTGCTTTTACCTGGAGCCGAGATGGCTGCTGAGACACACTCTCCTTCTGCAAGGACGGCAGAGGCTGGGTTCTGATAACCAGTCGTCAAGGACGCAGTGTGGGGAAGGAGGACAGCTGAACTGTTCATCTTATGATTTTAATAAAGAATGAGATCTGTTGATGAATTAATTAATATGATCAACTGCTGAATCAATTTGTGATCAAACTTGTAAATGATGTTTAATGGAGATGATGTGATAACGAATAATACACCACATATTGTTAAACACACAGCAGGCAAGAGCAGAGCTTCTCAAGGGCAAAGACGTCACGATCTGGGAATGCCCCGGGAAGGGGGGTCGTTCTACAAAACTACTGACAAGCGAGCTGAGAGTCAGTTCGTTGAGACTTCACAGGGCCCGTGAATTCCTCTTCGACAACATCAGAACTTTGGCACGCTGCCAGGTTCTAGACACTTGCAAGCAAGCTGAAAACACCAACTGAGTTCCACCATCAACCGTGGAACGGTTTGCTTAAACTTGAGCCAATCAGAGACTGATTTTGACCAGTGGACTTTAACCTCAAAGCCTCAAGGATTGGGAGACCAGCTGGGAGCGACCGTGTTCCTCCATCGACCGGGGTCCGTCCAAGACACCCCCCAGGTGATTTAGGGCACTCATGATCACTTCTTGTTCCAAAGCGACACAGTAGACTAACCCAAAACATCATTTCTGTTTCAGACAGATGAACTAAGCCCTCAGCTAAGCTCTGCTCTCATGCACATTTTAGCTCATTAAACATCAGGGAATTGTTAACTGTGTGAGATTTTAAATTGTGATTTATAAATTAAATTCTTTTAAAATTGTTGAAGGTTGATCTTTATTCAAGCGAGTCTAAATACCTGAGAATAAAAAGTTCTTTAGGTCTTCTGAGAAAAATAAGCGTTGTCCGAATTAATATTCAATCAATATTAATCATTTCCAAAGGTTGTTAAAATAACATTCCTTATTTCACGTAAAGGGAGCATTCTCCACTTTAACACGCTCAATTTTTCTGCATTGGTGCTTTAGGCTGCAAAGGCTGTCATTAAATGATAATGATAAATGACCCGCGCTTGTATAGCACCTCTCAGAGTAAGGACTCCAATGCGCTTTACACTACAGTGTATCATTCATCCATTCACACACACATTCACACACTGATGGTGATGAGCTATGATGTAGCCACAGCTGCCCTGGGGCGCACTGACAGAGGCGAGGCTGTCGAGCACAGGCGCCACCGGTCCCTCTGACCTCCACCAGCAGGCAAGGTGGGTTAAGTGTCTTGCCCAAGGACACAACAGCAGCATTCTCTGTCCGGAGCCAGGATCGAACCTGCAACCTTCCGATTACTGGACAACCCGCTCAACCTGTTGAGCTACTGCTGCCCCCAGGAAGTAGGGTTCACTGCAGGAACTGATCTGGTTCTGACAGGACAGATGTTGTCCAGAATGGAAATGCAGTGCTTGTTAAACTGAGAAGTTAAGGAATCTGGGTCGTTATCAGAAGAACAGGGTGGATCAATAGCAGCAGAAAATTTGCTAGCTGTGCTCTCATTAAGAAAACGAGAACTAACCAGAAGGTGAGCAGGAGGTGGGGAAACTGACAAGTTAAAGATAACGCAATGGGGATCTGAAATATGAACATCCTCAGGACAAACACTACCAGCATGTAGACCCAAAGTAAAAACAAGGTCTAGAGTGTGTCCCTTGGTGTGTGTGGGGCCAGCAACATGCTGGGTAAAGCTGAAGGAGTCAGGAGGCTGGACAAGGTAATGAGAAAGTGGTCTGAGACATCATCGTAGATGTAGGGCTGGGCAATAAATGAAAATGTATCACTATCGAAATTTCTGCCTCTTATCGAGATAATTTTTCCCAAGTCAATAAATTTGATTAAAAAAAAAAGGTGTGTAAGTTGGCAATGTTCATGTCCCTTTAAGAAGCTGTACCACCTTGAGTCACATAAAAATGTGATTCAACGTAATACATGTGACAGCCCCATCTAGTGAACAACTTTTGTTTCTGCACATACCTGTAGTTATCGTCCATTTATCGTTATTGAGGTTCAAATCCTCAATATATCGTGATATTGATTTTAGGCCATATTGCCCAGCCCTACGTGGATGTTAACATCACCAACAATAACCAGTCTGGACAGATTCAAGGTGGAGGATAGAAAGACACTAAACTCCTTAAGAAAAGAACTGTTTGGACCAGGAGGACGATAAACCATGGCACAGTAAAACGGGTCCTTATGCCCCAGAGTGCAAGAGAGTGCAAGCCCTTACCTCTCTTTTTTGCAGAGACAGTCTGGTTTTGGACTTGTGGCGTGGAGGTACATTCTTGCAGGGCTGACATGCTGACCTCATGTTCTGACCCCTCTTCTGGCATACTGACATCTGGATCAAGAAATAACTTTATTAAAGTATAGAATACACAAAATATGTAATAGCCGTCAGTATAGTGGTTGTTATTTTATAAAATAAGTATATGGAATTTGTGTCTCTTAAAGGGAGAGACGGAATTTCATTCTGTCTCCTATTCTAAATCATTTTCAAGTGACTAGTGAAGTAAAAATATTAATTGTCATGTTAGCCCAGGGATGGCCAACTTCACTCTTTAGGGACCCACATCCTACAGGTCTGAGATGTTTCCCTGCTTCAACACGCCTGATTCAAGTTAAATAGATCAAACAGCTTGTTGCCAAGCTCTGCACAATGAATCAGGTGTGTTGCAGCAGGGAAACATCCAAGACTTGCAGGATTGTGGTCCTCAAGCAATACATTTCCTCATATAGTGTACAGACGAAAGACTGTCCTACGCAGCCCACTAGCGCTGAAGTAGCTGTACGCCTCAAAGATTGGATGTTGGACAACATAAAATGAACTGATTTCTTAGGTGTGTTCTTACTGTGTCGTGGTTCTAATTCCATGCTTTCGTTCTTTTTTAAACACAGAAACAGTTTTGTTTACCTGTTTTGTAGCTACAGTTTCACCGACGGCAGCCGTCGGTGAAACTGTAGCTACAAAACAGGTAAACAAAACTGTTTCTGTGTTTAAAAAAGAACGAAAGCATGGAATATGAACTGATTTCACCAGACAGCGACCGTTGTTACTGACATTACAAGTAGCGTTATAGTTAAGGTTAGTGTGCACTTACCTACTGTTTATAGGTTGCTCCAATCTCAGGGCACAGACTTCATGGAGAGATTGCATGGCTATTAAGACATTTTTTCTCCTCAATTCTGCACGAGTACACAGTTACAGCGAGTGGAGAACAAGTACATAGTTGAAGAGGAAAAATGTCAAGATGAAGCTGAGCGAGTTTAGTTCATGTCATCTAACCCGATGGCATACAGTATGCGTTTAAGCCAGTGATGAGGAGGAGGGGCGCAGCGGCTACGGACAAAGATGACAGTGAGGAGAGGGTTGGCAACCCTTTGTAGTGCAAATGCGGTCACTGCTCAGCCGTGGAGCAACAACCGTGGAGTCCGTTTGCTGCCATGAAGGAGACTTGGATAATGATAGGTATTTTTAAAATGCTCCTCTTTTTAAGTAATAAAATAATAAACTTGTGGATTAAAGGGTTTTTTCTTATCCTCAGTTGTTTTCAGTTAAAGGGCCTTTTTGTCCTCTTCACTTGGTCTTACAGGATGGTTACATTGGAGGTTGCAAGAGTGAGTGGTAACTCGTAGCTTTGGAAACTGAATTCCTGGCTGTCAGTCATAAATTAAGTAGCCAGCAGGTTTTGGCTTTCAACAAAAACTCTGTGACTTGAGAAATCCCCGCCTTAGACATGCGGTGGTTGGCCAAACCTCCTGACAGAGATTTACGGGTCTTTGTTTGGAAGACTGTGGGTGGAATAAAACCATTTGGAGTGCAGAGGACTGACCGAGAGCTGAGGTGTCGAGAGGCCTGGAACAGGCTTCTGGCGTGTTGGCTCTCCGCTGCTTGTTCTGACAGTGTAAAACCCTCTTTTCCTTCTATTATTAATGTTTGTCACGTGTGTCTTAATGTACTGTACGTGCATATAAATATATGTGAGTCCTTTCTTGTAATAAAATCCTTCTTTGAATCTATTTTTGTCCGTCTCTCTCACCCATGTATGAGGTAAACGTGATTTAAATTGTTCTAAATAAAACTAATCTTTTAATCTCCCCCTTGTGCAATCACAATTATTCAGCAGATAAATGTGCTCAGGGAATTGTCCTGCGTCACTTTATCGTGGACCTACCAGATGTTCTATAATGAGAGAGGTGTTTTGTAGCTATGCTATCCCTGCGTGAAGTCCACGCAGAGAGATTGAAGCAACCTATAAGCAGCAGGTGGATGCACGCTAACCTAAAAGTTAAAGCTGCTTGTAATGTAAGGCAGTACTAACCCAATGTTCAGTTTTAAAACTGGGGTTGTGTTTGACTGTGTTGATTGTGCAGCCTCTGCATCAGACAGGTCTCCTGACAGAGTTGCAGGAGGAGGAGGTGGTTGGGACAAAGGAGGGAGATGGGGTTGTTGATGCTAATTTTTGTCATGCACTGTGTGAAAATGCACCAAAGCTAAGAACTGCATTGAAGCTCACCTGTTGCAGACACTCTTTGGTTTTGACTTTCTGATATGGAGGTACATTCTTGCCTGGATGACATGCTGACCTCATCGTCTGACCCCTTGTCACCTAGCACACAGACATCTGGACATAAATAATTACTTGTAAGAATAAAATACACAAAACAGGTAAAACAGATAATTTAGCATCAATTTAAGAACATTGCATACACATACCTTCAATGTCCTCTGCTAAAGGTCCCTCCATGTGAATGGTCTAAAAAGATAGTTGAACAAATATTGGAAAGCTGAACTTGTGGGCAATCTGCAAAAGTATACAACTATAGAATTATTCTCTTATCCGGTCATCATTACTCTTAGGGCAGGAAATTAACTTTTTCATCCACCAGATTCAAAATTTTACTGGCCACTCAATGTTCTTAATGCCGCCTTTACAAGAAAGGATAACCACAGGTTGACTTGCAATAGTGGATATTTCATCAAGGGAAGGAAAAAGCATTTGGGCACAAAATCCTCGATAACTTTAAGTAAATGACGTGTTTTCACCAGCTCCAGACTAGTGAATTTCAACGCAGCAGCAGCGGTGATGTTCGCACATCCTTTCCTAATAATACCGCCTATCATGTTAACGTCATTAGCTTTATATATACACCCCCACACTAGCAGGCTCCAGCGACTAAAGTCTACGCTGTGGTGAGATTTTTTCCCACTCTGTTGAAGAACAAGAAGAAAATATCATTTCTATAGCGCCTCTCAAGATAAAAATCATGAGGCGCTTCACAAAAACAAAAACAAAAAATATAAAAAATTGTAAAAATATAAAAAAGCACTTAGAAAATGTTTTAAAATATATTTAAAATGAGCAAGAATAGGCAATTGCGACTTAAAAGAAAAAATGTTAAGAAAGAGAGAGTGTGACTAGGAAAGAGGGAAATCAGTGGATCCTGAGGAAGGTGGAATAGGTGGGGAGAGCCGAATAAAGAGAGAGTGGTGAAGAAGGTCATACAAAAGCCAGCTTGAACAAGTGAGTCTTCAGCTGCTTTTTGAAGGAGACCACTGAGTCCACTGATCTCAGGCTCAGGGGGAGAGAGTTCCAGAGTCTGGGGGCCACAGCAGCAAATGATCTGTCAAAGCTACAGCAATACTGCACCGAACAAGAAGATGGCTCTGCCTTCACAGGAAGCATAAAGGAGAATAGTTTGGAAAGATTTTTCCAACCAATACAGGTACAACTACTTATTTATCATAGATACACCGACAGTTATGATGCAGGAAGCCATGTGCTATTAGTTGTTTGCCACCACGCGTCCAGTGAAGAGCACAGCGAAGAAGACGTGCTGCTGCCTAGACTCTCCCGGTGTGAAAAGGACCGCTTTGAAGTTTGCGAGTAAACCGTTTCGCTGTCGTTTTGTGCCACTGATGCTTCCAGTGTGAAACTGGGGACAAGTTTTCTGGCGGCAGCATAGGCGTATCACTGCCCCAAATGATCAGTTGCATAACACATTTGAATGCGCTGTACTGCCAACATTACCTGCCAGGTGTGTGGCTTGATGATTGTGACCCCCCAATAAGCCATTTCGGTACTGCGTTGTGCGCAATGCATTCTGGTGTTTTGGACCCTAAACTGACAGAAGCGAACATACATATAGATAGGGAAAGCGGCAAAATTTATGATTTGAACAGTGGAAAGTTGTTGAACTGAAAACATATTCGCCTTAGAGGGCTGCCTGTGAAAGAACTAAGTGCACTAGGGTATGCAGCTACAGTGCAGAAACTACTAATTGTTTTGACGAAATAAGTGGCGTAGTTAAGGCTGATTATACCAGCTTTTGACATTTCATGGAGTGACAATCCCAGACCCACAAACGCTATTAGAAAGACTGGGAAGGAAAAATGTTGGCATGTAGAAGCGACCTCAGCTACTTTTCATCCCAGAGCTCATGCATTCAAGATGTGCTGTATCATAATATCGCAGGTATTTTCTTGCTTGTGAAATGTCTGTGTTATGGGTAGCAGTTAGCACCTAGCCTATGAGCTTTTGCCATGCTTTTAAATTCTTACAATTTGTATTCATGTATGGGTTTTTTACATCTTAAAACCTGTAAGAGCCCGGATAAGGCTGTGATGCCCTGGCCGCCCACTGAATGGGACAAGCATGTATGCCCCCATCCTAACGGGAATGCATCCGTGAAAACAGAAACATGTGACATTGCACGACCAAGAGAGACTCCAAGCATCAAGATGTCGGGGTTCCCCCAGTGCTCCAGATCTCGTTTTACTGAGAGGAATGGGCAGCATATGTTGTTTGTGATGCAGCAGGTTTATCTTGAGATATCTGAACCAGCATTGGATGCGTGTCATATGTTGCAAACCAAGAGGAACTGCTATATGGCCTGCAGCCATCAAGCCAAGCAGCTTCATCACTGTAAGAGCTGTCACAGTGTGGCGAGGTTGCATGTGGCTGATTACGTGTGTTGAGACTGGGAGAGGTAGGCTCTCGTGATGCTGGAGTTCAGCTTTATGCCCAAAATGGTGATCAGCTGTGATGGGATCACAGAACTTTTCTCCCAATTTATGGAGAAACCGAACATCCTAACGTGATTAGATGTTCTGTTAGTGTTCTCATCTGTGATTCCACGTCGGACTCTGAGGGAGCCAGAAGGAGCAGATAATCCAGATAAAAAGAACCATCAAGCCCACCGTGCGTAATGGCTGAAGCGATGTCTCTAGACAACTCTAGAAGGTGCAGGGAGAGAGGGAGTAACTGAACAGGAGTCTGTTGTACTGATATTGGACTCTGTTGAAGGACAAACACAGGAATTTCCTGTGTTTCGGGACCACTGGAATATGGAAATATGTGTCCCTCAGGTCGATAGAAGTTAACCAGTTGCCTGGACGAACGTAACTCTAAAACTGTCTCATGGTGATCATGCGGAAGCGCTTTTCCGCTATGAAGCGGTAAAGTTGAACAGGAACAGATCGTGGATGAGTCTGACACTTCTGGCCTTTTTTTGTAACAAGGAAATTGCGGGAATAGAACCCCAAATTCACCTCATCTTTTGGACCCCTCGAGATGGCTTCCTTTGACAGGAGCTCCTTCAATTCTGACTGGAGGGTGAAGAAGTGGTCCGATGAAGTCAGTCTCATTTCCACAATCCTTGAGAATGGAGGGGGATGGGACCGAAATTGAATGGTAAATGGCCTGTATATGATATTGTGTCTTCTAGAGTCCTGGAACCCCACAAGATGCTTTACAACACAATCAATCATTCTCACACACATTCACACCCTGGTGGTGATGAGCTACATTGTAGCCACAGCTGCCCAGGGGCACACTGACAGAAGCGAGTCTGCCATACATATGCGCTACCGGTCCCTCCAACGACCACCAGCAGGCATACCATACCATACCATGTTTATTTGTAAAGCACATTTAAAAACAGCATGACAGCTGTCCAAAGTGCTGTACTGTAGTAAAAAAGAAGGAAACGTAGGGTTACATTATATAAACCCCGGTTCTTTGATAACAGAGTGAGGTGTTTCACTATGGGAATCGCCCTGGCGTGACCAACTACGGAAGATCCAATGACATCACGTCTGTCCCTGACAGACTGGTTGCGCAGTGCCCAGGCTCCGCTCACCCAGTATATACATGGCCAACCAACCCCTCTTACTCATTCGGATGATTTCTTACCGTTAATGCAAGAAGGGAATTGTTGGTGAAACACCTCACTGTTATCAAAGAACCGGGGTTTACATAACGTAACCCTATGTTCTTTTTCTAAATTCGTTCGGTGTTTCCCTATGGGAGATATGGCCCACTCCTGGATTGCATATCCATCCCGAAGCGAGCTGCAGCAAAAACTCTGCTTAACCACTAAGCAGATGTTATGCATCCTGCCTCCAGCACTGAATACGCCAGTGAAGGTTGAGACACATCCAGCCTGTAAAACCGCACAAAAGTCAGCGGCGTGGCCCAGCTAGCTACTGCACAAATATCCTGGACTGACACCCCACGAAACAGGGCCCAAGATGTAGCCATGCTCCTTGTAGAATGAGCCCTCACCCCCCAGAGGGGGTTCAGCACCCTTACACCTATATGAAAGGCTGATCGCTTCTACAATCCAGTGTGCCAGTCTCTCGCAAGACACAGGTTTGCCTTTATGGGCCATGGCCCAAGAAAAAAACAACTGGTCTGATTTTCTGAGACCAGCAGTCCTGTCCATATAAGCCCCTAAAGCTCGAACAGGGCAGAGACAATGAAGTAAGTAAGTAAGTAAGTAAGTAAAGTTTATTTGTAGAGCGCCTTTCACAGATATAAATCACAAAGCGCTGTACAACATGAGTAAAATCAGGGCAAATACCTCTAACCAATAAAAACATCATAAAAACAATAGCAGTGACAATAGTAACCAAAATCAGGAGTAAAAACAAAGTCAAGGTGTGAACAAGAACAAAGCCATCTTTTAGAATATTTAGCGGGGAAAAGCCTGGATGAAAAGGTGAGTTTTAAGATGTTTTTTGAAGACCTCTACAGATTTCAAGAGACAGAGATTTGAAGGCAGACTGTTCCAAAGTCTGGGGGCAATAGACTGAAAGGCCCTGTCCCCTTTGGTTTTTAGTCTGGTTCGAGGAACAGCCAGGAGGTTTTCAGATGTGGATCGGAGGTTCCGTGAAGTGGTGTGTGGGGATAAAAGCTCAGATAGGTAGCTTGGAGCCTGGTTGTTAAGAGCTCTATAGATCAGCACTAAAACTTTAAACTGTATTCTATATTCTACCGGGAGCCAGTGGAGGGACTGTAAAACTGGAGTGATGTGAGCTCATCTGCTGGATTTGGTTAGGAGTCTGGCTGCTGCATTTTGGATGACCTGAAGGCGTGACAGGGAGGTTTTGCTGAGACCAGTAAAAAGAGCGTTGCAGTAGTCTAAGCGTGATGACACAAAGGCATGGATGATTTTTTCCAGATCTGCAGTAGAAACCAGTTTACGGACTTTTGAAATGTTTCTCAGTTGGAAGAAACAAGAGCGGGAGATGGTTTTGACGTGTGAGTCTAAACTTAAAACCGGATCAAAAATAACTCCCAGGTTTCTAATGTTGGCCTTGGCTGATGGGCAAAAGGAGGCAATTTCCTGCTCGATTTTTGGTTGAAGTTCCGGGGGTGCAGAGATCAGGGTCTCTGTCTTGTTGGCATTTAGAACAAGAAAGTTGCTGGACAGCCAGTTACTGATCTGGGTCAGGCAGAGTACAAGGGTGGCC